TGTGGTCAGTTCACAGCAGTGATAGAAATTAATCTTTTCCAATAAGTTTAAATAGATTTTTAACTTTTATTGGCATTCTTAACTTTATACAGTCCTTTTTTTCTAAAAGTGTACATCTTTTGAGTTAAATTCTTACATTTAATCAGCCAATTATAATAATACATTTAGGCTGTTACTAAACAAATTAAATCAGTGTCAATAAAATTAATCTTTGCAGAAGTTGCATATGAAGTGGCATTGAGATGCATTTACACATGTTAATGCAGCTTAGAGGGACATGGAATGCTTTAGCCTGCAGTTACAAATGCATAAGTAATGTTTTGATATTTTAAACATGAAATGTTGAATACTGATATTTGAAATTATTTAAAAAAATGAAAAAATGTTTGGAATGTTTTTTGTTGGCGAAATAGCGCATAAATAGCGCAAAAACAGCCAATATGCTGTCTAAACCGTAAGTCTCTTGATGGTAACTTATTCTTTATTGAACTGTTGTATAAAATCAATATCACATTTGTAACCATGCTGATTTTTAAAGAAAAAACGGCACTCTTCCTGTGATATTGATTGACTATATGAATTGATATAACTATATGAATATATACATTTTATGCCCCCTTCTCTTGAATTATGTGATCATTCTTAATGCATATTAATAAACTGAATCATGCAGTGAAAGATCGCACTCTAAATGCGCACGCGCACTAAAGCCTGTGTTGGTCTACTCTAACCAGACTTCATCACGTATGCGTGCCTCTGTAGGTGTTTTGTTTGTTCTAAATGCAAAAATGTTCATGATATATAGATATATAGATATATAGATAGGTAGGTCAGTGGCCCTTGGCTTGGTATTGTTGGCAGAATTTGGCCCTCGGCGAAAACTAATTGAGGAACCCTGGTCTATGCGCATGGGTCACATCGGTGTTATTGGATCTTGCTGTATTTTGTGTGTATCTCATGCCATGACATTTTTTAAAACAGGAGGGCAAGTTTGTTGACCACCTTTAACCTAGCTAATGTTTAAAATTAAACATAAATAAATAAAACAAAAAACCTTGTTTATCAAACCAAATAAAACAAAATTAAGCACAATAACATTAAACAAAAACAAAAATCTAAATGGTGTGGAAAAAGATTACTGGATAATACTTACAGAGGTTCTGTGCTATCTTTGGGTCCAGCACTTTAAGTTCTTTGACCCTCTTTTTGATGGATTTCTTCCCCTCCAGGTCCTCATCTTCTCGTCGAGCTGAAAATCATCATCATCACAATTTATTATCACACCCAAGTACATGCATGCAGAAAACCATGTCCAAAAACACCAGTTTGAACGAGCAAAGAACTGACACAGAGTATGAAGCATTCTATTGGACTACAGCAGTCGGAACACATTAGTCCGTGCTTAATTTTTCACCATCACTGTCAATCACATGTAAGAAAGAAACTAGCATTTAATCTTAAACACCACTGAACAGAAAACACTGAATAATTAAAGAGCAAAGCCTTAAGGAAAATGCATTTAATAAGGACCCCCGGGTTCTGTGATATGTTGACCTCTCGGGGTCAGATGATGAGCAGGATGGCATTGTGTAAACATGTTTGTCTGTTGATGAGAGAGGAGGAGAGTGATGTAATGTGTGCTGAATGGAAAATAGCAGACTTTCAAGCACCCATAATTATGGTGGCCCAGTAGTGCACAACACAACAAAATTGGCACAACACAATGGAACCAAGTCACAACACAATGAAATTAGCACAACACAACAGAAACAAGCCGCAACACAATGGACAGTAAACAGTAAAATGTCCGAAATTTGGATTTCGTTAGACCATTACCTCTGGTATAATATAGCTTATACTTAAAGCTTTAACGCATCTTCTATAGTGGTCAAGAAAGAGAGCGGGAGCATTCCGCGTTGTTGTTAACTTGTATTTGTATTTTTTGATTTTCATTGTGTTGCGCAGAATGCTCAAGAAATGCAGAGCTCCAGACTCATTATTCCCAATGGTCACGCTTTTGCGACTAACTTTCTCAGTTGTTCGCACAAGCACATGATTTGATCGCAATATTTTTTTTATTTTTTTTTGCGCTACAACATGGGATTAATCAATGCATGCTGATTAACTTTTATCAGTTTATAGTTATATGGAAACGAAAGTGGTTAACATTCCACCCATTCTTTTTCATCAGTAGTATTATTTGTGATTTGAATTTTGTGAACAGGAGTTCCTCTTTTGCTGTGTTGTAAGCTGGGCTTCGGGTGCTTTCACTTTCGAATTCGCAATCTTGTCACTAGAATTGACAAGACAGTTGACCCTGAGAGGTCAGCTAAATATCTACAGCGGATCTAAAATATGAATAGTTAATTATAACTAGTTATGGTTAATTATTCATATTTCCTGTTGTGAGCTCAATTCGCTACATTTTACAAGATAATTGTCTGTTTTGCTAACATACATCTACACACCTTTCACTTTTTTAAGACTAAAACAAAAGATGGATTCATTGTTATTCTCAATTAAAAAGCACAACAATAAAACCGTAAGATACAATGACAAACTAGCTTACAAAATGTTTATTAACAAAAATGAATAAGATGAGGCATGGCATACACCACATGCTGTATTATATATAGTCTAATAAATTACAGAACGTTTAGCAAACCTTGAGGAATCGAATAAAAAGAAAAAATAAATGAGAGCCTTCATAGCGTAACATGAGGTAAACAGAAAAGATAACAAGCTTTTCAAAATGAAAACAAAAAGAAAAGTAAACCTAAACTTGCTATCGGTGACAGTGCTTGCATGTTTTTCCCCCACAAGAATACCAACATGTTCACCCTCTCTGGTTTAAGAAGCGGTCTATTACTTTACTTTAGCATGAAAACCATCTATTTGGTCGCAGTCTGGAGCTCTGAAATGCTTCAATTTGAACATGTCTATGATAGCCAAAAACATTGTCCCCCGGTTTCACAGACAAGGCTTAAGCTAGTCCCAGAATAAAATGCATGTTTGAGCTGTCTCAACTGAAAATATCTTTCTCTGACATATCTTAAAATATGTCTGTGTCATTGTTCTGTGTCAAGATGCACACCTGTAATGTTTTCTTTTAAGGCATTTTTGTAAAAGTTAAAAACTAAGGCCTAGTCCTGGCTTAAGCTAAGCCCCGTCTGTGAAACCGGGCCTGTGTATCTTAAATATAAACTTGTCTATGATGCCCAAAAATGCTGTCTAAGTACGTAAATTCAACTTGAACATGTCTATGGTGCGAAAAAATGCACTCTAGGTAGGTAGTTTCAATTGAACTCGTAAATGATGCCCAAAAAAGCTTTCTAGGTAGGTAGCTTCAGTTTGGACATGTCTATGATTCTTAAAACATTGTCTAGGTACGTAGCTTTGATTTAAATTTGTTTATGATGACCTAAAACGTTAAGTAGGCAGAATTCCCTTGAACTTGATTTCAATGTCCAAAAATCCTGTCCAGGTAGGTAGTTTCAAGTTGAACATGTCCAAAAAATACTGTCTAGGTAGCTCATTGGGTTTTGAGGCAGAGCCAATGAGTGTGTAATGGTGATGCTAAGAGAGTAAGGGGATTGGTCTTTTGCAAGACAGCTGTGAAGAATGAGATTAGAGCCACACAGCTGTGATGACTGTACACTGTGTAAACCCCAATGTTGTCATTAATAAAGAAATCAAGTTATCATAACTTAACATTACTTAAAATGCCAAGTTTTGGTGTCAAAAATTAAACAGGTATGTTTAATTAACTAATTTGGGAGCAAAAATCTTTCGAATTAAGATTTTAAGAAAATTTCCATTTATTTAAATTATGCTCTATGTCTCCGTTTAATATGATTGGTCGTGTTTGAAATTCTGCCTTGACAAACGCTCTGATTGGTCGATATAACACAAGGCGGTAAGTTTTGGTCGTTGTGAATTTGCTGAAGCAGCGATCCAGACTGAGGCACTGGCAGAGAGAGTCATCTAAAAGATGAAAATCAAACGTTAAATTGGTAAGTAGAGAATAAAATGCATATATACACTTTTCTTAATTACCTTACAAGTTTTATTGTAATGTTATTTGAAAGGTATAATTGCAAATTTCCCGTTTGTCTCCCGCAGCGGCACTAGCAGACAGGCGGTCGTCGTGAAGCAGGCGGAAAGAGAGCCCTCGTCATGAAGACTCATTGAAGTACGCTGCTAGGTTAAGTTAATGGTAAAATATGTGTGTACATTTTGCTTAGTTGTCTTCAAAATGTTTTAATTTTAGTGTGATTTGCAAGTAGGGCTGGACGATAAAACGATAACAATGATTATCACATAAAATGTTCGATAATTAATGCTCGAAATGTTCTATATGTTTATGAACTACGCAAACAACATTAAATGGCAAACGCGGAACGAAGCAGTGCTACTCATTTGAATCGCGTGCCGCACGGACCGTTTATCACCTCGGCCTAAAAGAAAAGAGCACCGCGGAGAGCTCAGAGCGAATGCGTTTATTCACTGACCGGTCGCGTTCACGCAATCACTAAACAGCGCTGCGAGATCCCGTGACAAGCGCACGAGTTCTCCGATAAAAAAAAATACATTTATCGGTTATTTAAACTATTTTAATGTCTGATCAGACTATGTTTACATTATCAACAGCACTGACGTGGAAACAGGAGGTTTTCAAATATAGAAATCGCCAGCATTTAACGTTACCATGAGTTTACTGTAACACTAACTGTCTGTAACCATGTTATTGTGGCAGAAATGTAGGATGTTCATATTTAATTTTATTAAATTCTGAATGTGTAGGCAAGTATTAAAGGAGTAATGGAAGATTATTACAGTTATTAAGCTATATCAGTTTTTGTGTATTTGTGTTATTTGTATTGCATTTGTATAGAGTAGTCTATAATAAAACCATAATTATTAACTGTCTGGTTTCTACTTTTCACAACTTTCACCCAGAAGCAAAAAATCTGCCACTAAACTTGAAAGAAATAAAGATTTGACATTTATCATGGCAATTATCAATATCGACTGATATGAAAATTCTATAGTGTTTTTTTGAGCTATATCGCCCAGCCCTATTTCCAAGGTATAAACACGTTTGAGATACTAACTTCCTGTAAGAACATCGGAGTGGTGTTCAATTTCCCGTTTTCCTCCGACAGCAGGACTAGCAGACAGGCGCAGGCGGGACGAGAGCCTTGTCATAAAGACTCATTGAAGTATGCTGGTAGGTTAAAGGGATAGTTCACCTAAAAATGAAAATTTGCTGTTAATTTACACCCTATACTTCATACGACTTCAATGTATCGTCAGGAGCCACAATATTAAATTCGTTTTCCTGTGTGTTTTTTTTTACTCTCATAGTGCCAGTAGCCGTTGACCTGCATTATATGAATCACCAAGGACCACAGTTTCAGCTAAAAATCTTCTTTAATGTTAAACTGAAGAAGAAAAGTCACCTACATTTGGATGGCTTGAGGGTGAGTAAATTAACAGCAAATTTTCCTTTTTGAGTGAAATATCCCTTTATTTTGCGCCTTTTGAAATGTACGTGAGTTTGGATGCATGTGAATCAATTTTAATTTGTTGATGTTTATTCATCTTTTCTAGATGTCCGATGATCACAGCCATGATCCTTGATGTGTTCAATGTATTCTACTTTCCCTGGGGCAGAAAGACCTGCAGCCTAAAATACAGTCTTAGGCAAACCTATTTGGTAAATATGTAAAAAAAATAATAATAATAAATTTCTTTTTTTTTTTGCACACTTTGAATTGCTACTACCATTCACAAATACTGTGCAAATTTCTATGCTCCATACAGATTCACATTTTGGTGACTGTTAATACTCAAGTATTGTAATTGTATTTTTTTTTTTGATTGAATGTTATTATGCAGTTAAGTCAGTATACATCATCGAAATTCATCAATGTTGTATAACCCAAATAAAGTTGTTGATGTGAAGAATTTTTTTTTTAATGATTTATACATTTCTTAAAGCCAATAAACACAACAATATATAAACTGGAACATTTGAGTTAAGTCTGTTTGCCTTTTAAGTTATCTGTACTTAAAAAAAAACGTTAATTCAACAAGAAAGACCACATTAGGTGAACTCAATTAAACAGAGTTGTCAATTTCCCATTACTCAATTAAACTGAGGGAATCACTTTCCTCAAATCATTTGAGTGGTCTCAACTTATTAGGGTTTACAGTGTAGTAAATGGGGTCACACTCTCTCTGTCCTGTTTGTGCACACAGTTTCAACTGTATGCATTTAGCTTTTTTTAGGAAGGGATCTAAATATTTTTGATATTATCTTTCTCTCTCTTTCGTGTGGCTTTTAAACAAATAAAACTGAAGGCAATGCAGAGGTCACTGACTAACAGGTTAAACAGCTCCCTCTTCAGATCTCAGAAGAGAGATAATGAGACATGGAGAAAAAAATAAGAGAAAAGAGATGAGGAGAGGAGAGGAGAGGAGAGGAGAGGAGAGGAGAGGAGAGGAGAGGAGCAGATGGAAAGCAGGCGGTTTCAATACAAGTTTAATTATTTAAAACACCAGATTAAGAGAAGTAAACGCAGGGCTCCGGAGAGAAGTGCATAATTGTCTTGTGCACTAATTAACATGGCTGTCTGGATACAGAGTCGAAAACACAGGAACAGGGTTAATCTACGGGAAAAAAACCCTATTCACACAAACAGCTAACCCAGATGCATAGCTATATCATAACAGCATGAGCCTGCCTTATACACTCACACATAGAGATGGCAGTGACTACACAATATCCTACAAGCTCCACACAGGTTATACAGTCACTAGCTGTGTTCCAACCTAGTGAGCTGCCTACTGTACCTACAGAAGACTGCACTGCATAGCACCATAGGCGCACCGACGACATGGCCAAAAGTGACACCTTTTGGTCAATCTAAGGCAACAGTACATGTATTATCAGAAAAGACCATTCCAGAATGTTCAGAAAGTTTGAGGTTGGTAAGATTTTTGAAAATACGTTTTTGGGGGAAAAAAAGTAAGTATTTTATGCTCACCAAGACTGAAGCTGTTTGATCAAAAATATAGAAAAAAAACAGTAATATTGTGAAATATTATTACCATTTTCCAAATTTGATATATTTTAAAATGTAATTTATTCCTGTGATGGCAAAGCTGAATTTTCAGCATCATTACTTCAGTGTCACATGATCCTTCAGAAATCATTCTAATATACTGATTTGATTATCATCAACGTTAAAAACAGTTGTACTGCTTTTATCGAAATTGTGATTTTTTTTTCAGGATTCTTTGATTAATAAAAAGTTAAAAAGAAAGAATATCTTTACTGTCACTTATTCAGTTTCTTACTGAATAATAGTGATAATTTTTTTTTAAAAATGAAAAAAATAAAAAATTCTTACTGACCCCAAATGGTAATGTATATATATGAGATGGTCCCATTTTAGTTACGATGCCATCTTAGAAGGCAGTTGTCTGTGAAGGGAAGCAGACAGCAAGGCAGCTCACTAGGTTTCAGAGCCCCATTGAGCATGGCTTATCAAAGATTTTATTGATTGTCTCTGGTTGCTTTTTTTCTTAAACACCCAATGGGTGGAGTCATCATGAGGCAGGGGCCACATGCGGAGAAACTCACTCCCCACACGTCCACACACACACACACACACACACTTACTGTACTTGAGTGGCTCTTCCACAGGTTCACTCTCCTCAGACACTTTAGTGAGCGGAGAGAGAATGGAGAAGATAGAAACAGAACAAGAATACAAATAACATAATCAGAGACAGCAGCCAACAGAAAGAGACAGCGAGAGCCAGAAAAACAAAAGAAAATGAGACAGGAACAGAAAAATGAGCCTGAAGACCAAGAGAAAGTAGAGACGTGATTTCTCATTAAATTCCACAATTAATTGTTAATTATGCTAAAACTCTGGAGCGGACCAATTTGATTTGGTGAATTGTGGGATGGCTAAAACTTGACAAAGTAAAACAGTAAATAACTAATTGTAATAAGTTGGCAAGATGGAGGAAGATCATTAAAGATTCATGTTCTCTGTGTAATTGGAACAAATTGGCTGATATATCCTGTATATCACATGCAGATCTCCAAGATCAACTCAAACAGTGACAGATGAAGCACATGAAATGCATGACAATATGCTCTTTTCTGATCGTTTCAGGCCTGTGATGTACAGATATAGGGTTCAGTGAATGTGAACTTCAAAAACGCAAGAGTCCGTACACAGCTGGAATATCGATCTGAAGCACATGGCCCTCTCACCGTCCCTTCATCTAGCCATCCCATTCAGATCATCCCTCTTCTACAGAAAGAAAAGCAAGCAAGTGTGTGTGGGATAAAGATATGCAGTATTGATCTGTTCATCATGACGAACTACCGTGCCACCAAAACTATGCCCATTCATTACACACACACACACACACACACGCACACTAAACACAACCAGATGATGTATGATTCACGATGCCGTCTCTCATAAGCACACACAAAACCAAATTGTGTGTAACGGCCTTCACTGCTTGAGTGTATAGCTAATACATTTATGACACCATGGCCTCTTTAAAGCGTCTAAGGATTGTGTTTTCCCTACCTTTAAATGGGAAAGGATGTTGTAAAGAATTTATTTCTTAAAGGAGTAGTTTGATGGATTTTCCAATGGCTTTTGAATTACTACAGAAAATAAGTTCTGTAACCAACAAATGTTTATGATTCTTTCACATTTTGTTCATCGAGATAATCTTCACAAATTAACATTTTATCATGTGACTCATTCCCACAGTACTCTATCGCTCTATTTTCATTTTTGGAACATTATCAAGTGTGTCCATAAATCTATAGATTCAGCTACACCAAAGTGAACTATATTGCCTCACTTACAAGCACAGCTGATTAATATTAAACAGACAAATACATCTTGATGTCGACAAAGAACAGCGCTTTAAAGGTCTTTCAGACAGGTAATTTTTCACATGCCATGTACTACACTGTCATCATATTAAAGGGCAAATTAAAGGCCAAGCAAAAGTCACTAAACATCCTTAAAAGCTCTTTGAAAGAGCACATGGATTTGTAGTTTGCCTGGTGAGCGAAGTTGGAGCGAGAATGCCAATGTTGCAGATCTAAGCCAATTCTGTGATTCCTGCCACTTGTAGTGGGAAGTCATTAACCTCATCAATTAACATTTAGATCGCTAATGAAAGGGCAACTGACATGAAATGGTCTAACTTGGTGTCTCCAAATGTCACAAGGACTATATATATCTAATGAAGGACAGGCAGTGATGCAGATGAGAGGGTCAATCCTGAAGCATCTCATATACAAAAAGAGGCTTTGTGCTAAACAGCATACTAGCATACTACCCCTGGAGTATAGAGCATGACTACTGTGCATACTACAAAGTTTCTTCATGCACAAAATACCTGTATGAACTACTTAACTTACCAAGATGTGCCAGGTATAACAGAGTATACAGTGGTATCCCACAATGCAATGCGTTAAACCTTCCATGTCCAGTGTGATGAAATGAAAGTAACCCACGGTACTTAATTTCTTAACTAATCAGACTTCTAAAGAGTTTTAAAATAAATACATTTATAATTTATTAATTTACAAACAATTTCTTGATTAATAGGTTCAGACTACTAATACTTCTAAAGATAAATATTTTCTTAATGCTTCGACAACTAAGATTTTTATTTGAAAATAAATACAAAATGTATTTTTACATTAAATTAATTTACAAATTGTTTAAAAAAAATTATAACCGTGCTATCCCATAATGCAATACATTAAATTGACCAACAATGTGTTAAATTTGTCTTCTTGACTAATATATTTTTCTTTTATATACAGCTATTCCTGTAGCTCAAACAGCAAAGCATGGTGTTAGCAACAAGGTCGTGGGTTCAATTCCCCAGAATGCATAGATACAAAAAATTATTATTTTAAGTAACTTTGGATAAAATCTTTTGGCCAGTGCACAAATCTAAAAGTAAAAGTGTAATATATTAGTTCACAAATTATTTCAATATGTTAAGAAAAAAAAAGTCATTACTGAGTGAAATAACCATACAACAATGAAGGTTACAACTGATGAAATGTACTGTATATTATTGTGCACTGTTCCACAATATAGACCGTATTTAGTATATACTGTTCAGTATGCAGTGCTCTCTTGAATGTTTGGTGTGGTTGGGTTTGGGAAATTGACCTCCTAGACAAACTACCCTCCCTCCTTCCCTCACCAAATCAGGCACACAATAGCCTTCTCAATAAATAGCATAACAATCTGCTTTCAGACAGAAGAGAAGAAGAATGGGACTGATGATGATCTAGAAAAATTACATTTTATCATCTTCCCCACCCCCAAAATCTTCCTCTCTCGCTGTATGTCTCTCAGAGTTGTTTTAAAGAGAATGGGAGATGAAATAAACAGGGATTGAAAGGGAATGAGGGATGGGCTGTCGGGCCCATGAGACAGCCTCCAGTATTCCAGCCCGTCTGATCAAGGGCTGCTTAATCATGCCACAACATTACTGCAATGTTACCGCAGCGTCAATACTGTGATGCCAAGCTAAAGCGCTCATTTTACCCACATCAATCTTTGTCTTTCCACAGTCAGCATACGGAGGAAAACATTAGTAATCAGACCAACAAACTTAGACGCACACAGAAAAATAACTATAAAAGTAGGCACGGGGGCCTCAGTGCGTTAAGTTCTGATATGCAAGTCACTTTAGACAACAGCATCTGCAAAACAACAAAGCAAGCATGCACTTTGAAATAACAAATGAGAAACTTTAGTAACAGTTGCTGGCTCTGTGAATCGCATGAATGCTCAGCACGTGTCTCTCTAGCATTTTCAAGAATACGCACTAAAGCCCACATTAAAAAGAGATTAAACCATCTGTGGAAATGAAATGAGGAGACATGCAATGATTATCATGATAAAGTGCATATTTATGATTGGTGATTTGGTGCCGGAGCTGGCAGACCCGATTGTGTGCGTTTCCAATAATGCTGCAGTATTTGTAGAGGTTTGTACGGGTAATAAGACAGGCCGCAGGGAGACAGTCATCAAAGGACCTGACAATAGAAAAGGCCTGTAATGTTACAGAAAACCCAACATTAATTAAACACTCTCCTCCTCCTTTATCCATCTCGCTCGGATTCTTTGTGCACTATCTACCCATCTCCACCTGTCATCCATGGGTTTCGGTTTCTCCTTACACTATCCTGCCTTCTCTCTTTTCATTTGCTTGCTCTGTCCACCCCAGGCAGACTTCTCTCCCTGTTCTTGTTTGGCAAGTTTAAAGTTTAGCTGTGAAACAGGATGTGCCGTTTGTGGTCTGAATTAGGAGAGACTTGGGATTCCAGACAGAAGATAGACAGAGTGAGAAAAACCTTCAAATGCTGAAAGCGGTCAAAATAAACTTCAGTCTACAGGGGGAAAAAAACATCAGGTCAAACACACATCCAAAAACCATATGCATATGCAAAACAGAGTTCAGAAATATTTGTTTGTTAAATTTCCATGTTTTTGAATCTTTTTTCCCCTTCTTGTTTCTACAACAGCACTTCAAGTGCATCTCAACACATTTCTGTACACTTCAACAGAGGGTCGGCGGTAGTACCGCAGGGGTCCACCAATTATTGATTGATCTCAAACTTTTTTTTAAAACAAAAATAAAACATTAACCAAAGCTTAAGGTCAGCTATGTGTCATTCAGTAATGTGTCATTTATTAAAAAAATTATAATAATAATAATTTAAATTACATTAAAATTAAAATATAGTATGCTCGTCTACACTTTCTCGTGAATAAGTTGAAGATGGTTTTGGAGTAAAAGCCTTACCATGGCAGAGTCCAATAAAAGCAAGTGTCACCTGCGAGAGCCCCGTGTTCACTCAAAGGACTAAAATTCTTTTTGCAGCGTTAATCTACATGCAAAAAACACACACAAAGAGAGTGGGGGGGTGGGGGGGGGAAAGGAAACATTTCCTGTTTTTCCCCCTTTATTTCATTCTCTCCATCAGGGTGCAAGATAAGTGGATGAGAGGGAAAACAGGTCTATTATCAATTCCTCATTGCAAAAAGGGAAAGGACGAAGCGTGGATGAAAAATCATCTTTGCAAAATAAAGTCGTGGCTGCAAATGTATTTTAAACGAGCCGCTGCTGATGTAAGAGCCTCACGCAGCAAATTGTAAATAAATTGTGCTGCTTTTATTACGAGACTGCTGCAAACAGAGAAAGAGAGAGGGAAACAGAAAAGGATATTAGAAAATAAGGAAGGGGGGGACAGTGATGCTGAGCTTCAGCTTTTAAGACAGAGAAAGAGCTTTATTATGGTGTATTTGATCAGAAGTAGATCATTCACTGTCTAATCTCACTGTTTGCGTCCACACACACAAAAGAACACACATGCTCATCATTTATCACTCAACATCAACCTAAGCTCCATTACCCATGATCCTCTCTGACTAATCAACAGCTGTGTAAGACTCCTGCTAACCTCTTTGACCTCTACTCTATCATTTGCTTTGTGCACACACACACACACACACAAAGGTGCACATAAATACCTCACACATCTCTGACGAAACTGTCCCCACCTACACAATGAAAAATGAAATGTAATTATCACAAATAAGTCTATACAGAAATTCACACTAAATTACTGGTGACCTGACAAAGCGT